CCATCTACCTGAAAATCCATTCACCCATGAATCCATCTGTCTGTCTAACCAACCAACCCATCCATCCATCCATCCATCCATCCATCCATCCATCTATCCATCCATCCTCCATCCATCCATCCCCTCATGAGTCCATCCACCCACCCACCCTTCAGTATTCCCAATGCACAACCACCTCTCTTTGCTGCTCTGTGCTTGTCATTTTCTGGCTGAAGGGACACATGTTTGGCAAAGGCCAGAGTCTACATCCCTATTGCCTGTGACACCCCTAAGACCTACTAAATTTGAAACTTTATCAAGACAAGAAATGGGCTGCGCTGTTGTCCTTGCCTGTTTTCGGTAAAGCCCATTACCTCTAGCCATGTCCCCCAGCCCCTGCCCACATTTCCTACCTCAACCTACTGCTCCAGACCTTCACCTCAAAGACTTTAAATCACACTCGCTCTCCTGTACGAAGCATAAACATTCACACAGCCATGATCTCCACATCTCACTCCCGTGTGTGTGTCGGGAAGCAATAGCGCGTGGGGCCGGCTCCCACCAGTAGGGACCCCAGGGACACTGACTCACCCTCTCACAATGCCACTCTCCAGGTAGCTGACTTGGATGAACTTCCCAAACCGGCTGGAGTTGTTGTTATGGGCTGTCTTGGCGTTTCCAAAAGCCTGCAACGAAATCAAAAGCAGGTTTTCAGATCAGGAGGATGGAATTTTTCTTTTTTTTCCTCTCATTTTACACTGTTCCTTTATTTTTATTTTGTATTGTTCAATTTATCTATTTTTTCTCTTGAAGACAGTCTCGCTCTGTCACCTGGGCTGGAGTGACACAATCTTAGCTCACTGCACCTCTGCCTCCTGGGTTTAAGCAATTCTCATGCCTCAGCCTCCTGAGTAGCTGGGACTACAGACGCGTGCTACCATGCCAGCTAATTTTTTGTATTTTAGTAGAGATGGGGTTTCACCATGTTGTCCAGGCTGATCTCGAACTCCTGAGCTCAGGCAGTTTGCCCGCCTCAGCCTCCCAAAATGCATGAGTCACTGTGCCCAGTCTCTATTTTTTCTTTTTCTTTCCTTTTTTTTTTTTTTTTTTTTGAGATGGAGTCTTGCTGTGTCGCCTAGGCTGGAATGCAAGGGTTCGATCTCGGCTCTTTGCAACCACCGTCTCCCGGGTTCAAGCAATTCTCCTGGCTCAGCCTCCCGAGTAGCTGGGATTACAGGCGCACGCTGCCACGCCTGGCCAATTTTTTGTATTTTTAGTAGAGATTGGGTTTCACCATATTGCCCAGGCTGGTCTTGAACTCCTGAGCTCAGGCAATCTGCCCGCCTCGGCCTCCTAAAATGCTTGGATTACAGGCATGAGCCACCCCCGGCCCCTTATTTTTTCTTTAACTGTTCCTGCAAAGCAGGGCTACCCAGTAAGCAGAGAGTAGCCCATTTTCTTTCTTTCTTTTTTTCATTTGAGACAGGGTCACACAACATCACGCAGGCTGGAGTGCAGTGTTGCGATCTTGGCTTACTGCAACCTCTGCCTCCTGGGCTGAAGCGATCCCCCTGCCTCAGCCTCCCAAGCAGCTGGGACCACAGGCATGCGCCACCACGTCTGGCTAAGGTTTTGCAGAGATGGGGTTTTGCCATGTTGCCCAGGCTGGTTTGGAACTCCTGAGCTTAAGTGATCCACCCACCTCGGTCTCCCAAAGTGCTGAAATTACAGGCATGAGCCATCATATCCGGCCCTGGTTTATTTAGTTAATATTTTTCAGATTGTGACATAATTTGCAAAAACATCATTTTATTTATTTGTTGTCTAAATAAACTTTATTTTTCAACCTTTTAATATTATTTTTGAGATGGGGTGTCGCTCTGTTACCCAGGCTGGAGTGTAGTGGCACGAACTCGGTTCACTGCAACCTCTGTCTCCCAGGCTCAAGGGATCCTCCTGCCTCAGCCTCCCAAGTAGCTGCGACCACAGGCATGTACCACCATGCCCCGCCTTAACTTTTAAGGTTTTGGGGTACACACGCAGGTTTGTTAAGTAGGTAAATTCGTATCACAGGGTTTTGCTGTACAGATTATTTTGTCACCCAGATACTAAGCCTAGTATCCAATAGTTACTTTTTCTTTTTCTTTCCTTTTTTTTTTTTTGGAGACAGACTCTTGCTCTGTCGCCCAGGCTGGGGTGTAGTGGCACGATCTCAGCTCACTGCCACCTCCGCCTCCCAGGTTCAAGCAATT